GTTTTCTAAGGTTTATTATACTTGAGTTGAATTGGTTCGTACTTTCCCTTGCTGACTCCCCAATTGTAAATTTCTGCTTTAAAGACGTAACTGTTTCAGTGGCCAGATAATGTCTATATTATCTCTTTTTTCTATATCGGTAAGAGCATCGAGGTATAAACGGTGATCGAGAGACTATCTTTCCTTACTATGTTTCTAGACTTCTCCACCGCAGCCGTCTTTTTTAAACTACTTCACTTGTCTTTCAGTATTTCGTCAGTATCAACATCATCAAGTGCTTCAACATCGTCGTCAGCGTCAACATCATCAAGCGCTTCCACATCTTCGTCAGCATCGACATCATCAAGTGCTTCAACATCATCTTCAGTGTCGACTTCATCAAGTGTCTCAACATCGTCGTCAATTTCGACTTCATCAAGCATTTCAACATCGTCGTCGGCATCAACTTCATCAAGCGCTTCAACATCATCATCAGTGTCGACATCGTCCTCTGTTTCCACACCAACTACAACGAGGTATGAATTGCATAGACTCAGCTCAATATCTATATTCAGCTCAATATCAGTATCATGTGACAATATGATATTCAAGTCTCACTTTGTACCATTTCGACACAAAAGAATTACAATTAAAGTCTTGATAGTTATGCTTTTTCCCATTAGAATTTGGTTGATATCATACAACCTTTTGTTAGGTTGCAAGCTTTTACTCTTGCAATAAAAAAAATTCTCCTTCGTCTTAATTGCTAAGAGATTTCTTAGACTCCTCAAACATGTACATAGTTTATTTTCGGACTTACCGTATGTTAAAACTTTAGTGCTATGTTAAAGCTTTGTTGTGTACATACAGTTTGATGTGAAATTTTAATCACGTCTTTATTTCAGTGTGTCTACTTCAAGTTCATCAAGTGTGTCAACCTCCTCGAGGTATATATAATGTGTTTTAAAGTTATAAATCTATAATCATATCAAAGATATAAATAATATCAAAGATATAAATCTATAATCATATTTAAAAGAGTAAATAGATAAACTAATGTGTTAGTCTTTCCGACGCATGAAATTTTTAAATTCTTTTGTAGTGTGTCGACATCGAGCTCTGCGTCAACTTCGTCAAGTGTGTCAACATCGTCAAGGTAGAAACAAACATAATGGTTTTACATTAGATCTTTAAGTTAAATGAAATTTATGGATCATGTCAATTATTGGTCGTAAGGTTTTACATTAGATTTTTAAGTTAACTGAAATTTATATTATTCTGGATCATGTCAATTATTGGTTGTAAGAGGACTAGTTAGTTCATTGGTTTTATTTTCATTTAATCTTTTTTCTGCAAATGATTTTTTCTTTTCGCTGTTGTTAATGGACTGTTGTAAACATTGCATTTTTTGCATTTTATATGAAACCTTGACAACTACTTTGGTGTTTTATTTTCCAATCAGCGCATCAACCTCAAGTTCTGTGTCGACATCATCATCGGCGTCGACGTCATCTAGTGTTTCAACACCAACAACAACGACGTATGAATTAGCTCTTTTAGACCTTGTTTATGGACCTCTGTGAATTTTTTGCTGGACATAACTTAGACACTACATCTTATCATCTAGTTTATTTACCTCTTCAAAGTTATTAATGGTGTCGTTAATACATGTGATACTATTTTGGGGTATTTAACGCGACGCGACAACGTTTTTTTCACAACTGTTTTTAAGAATAAACATGTTTTGATTCAGACTATCTTTACCTCAATATCTGTTGATAAAGGTCGTCAATTTTTATTTTATACTTGAGCTGACTTGGTCAGTAGTTACCCTTATTGACTCCTTAATTGTAAATTTCTGCCTTGAAGACAGAAACGTTTAAGTAGCCAGATAATTTTTATGCTATCTTAAAATGTTTTGCTCCTTTTTCGTACACAGTTAAGAGGATCGAGGTGAATAATGGAGATTTAGAGACCTTGTTTGTAGACTTCGTGACGAAAAACCTTTATCCACCGGAACCGTCTTTCTTAAACTACTTTACTTGTCTTTCAGTATTTCTACATCAAGTTCTGTATCCACATCATCGTCAATCTCGACGTCGTCTAGTGTGTCAACCTCATCAAGGTAGTTGGTTATCTCATTTTTGAAGATCAATCCGTGTGATTTCAAATACGCGCCTTTCTCATTTTACTTGGGTAGTTTCCATAAAAAAAACTTCGTTGACGCAATTGTGATCAACTGGTTTATTTGAAAGTGAAAGTAGAAATAAAGGAAATATTTCTTGTTAAGATTGTCTGAACTCTTTCATAGTATATCTGCATCAAGTTCGGCATCAACGTCATCAAGTGCTTCAACCTCGTCTTCACGTTCAACATCATCGAGTGCTTCAACGTATTCGTCAGCATCGACGTCATCAAGTGTTTCAACGTCGTCGTCAGTGTCGACATCGTCGAGTGCTTCAACGACGTCGTCAGCATCGACGTCGTCAAGTGCTTCAACGTCGTCGTCAGTGTCCACGTCATCAAGTATTTCAACATCTTCGTCAATTTCCACCTCATCGAGCATTTCTACATCTTCGTCGGCATCAACATCATCAAGCACTTCAACATCATCATCAGCGTCTACATCGTCATCTGTTTCGACACCAACTACCACGAGGTAAGGACTTAATCTCGTTAAGATCACAAAAGATGTGACCACTTTCTCTGAGTTCTGAAACGCATTCTGAACAGTTATTACCCCCAAACAGCTTACCTCAAATAATCCACAGCTGCTTTTTCTCATGCAGACTAAACAATTTTGATCTAAGTCTCACAGACTTTTAGTTGTGACTAGTCAAATTTGAGCCAAAGATATCATCACCCTTCATTTTCATTATAAATAAATTTTAGTAGATAGGTTAGTACAATCCGAAAGCGTTTAAATCGTGTAATTATTTTTAGCATTTTGCAAGACCACATATAAGGCATTGAAATTGAATCATTGGTTAAAAAAAAAACAATAGCAGAAAACTTAAAAATTTGAAATGGATTGGGCCTTAAGTATCTATAAGCAGTGACAAAGAGTTGGCATTACCGATCGCACAGCAACGAGCAAAATTTAGAAAATTTCGATTAAATTTTAGTTATATATGTTGCACTTGTTTTCAAATATTCCTTTCTATTTCTCCCTACAGTGTGTCTACTTCAAGTTCGTCAAGTGTGTCTACTTCATCAAGGTATCATAAAAATATTTCATACCCATATGCGATTTTAAAGTAAGTTATTGCTTGAGCGAAACTACAAAGCCAATCATAGAAAGTATATGAGCTCTATCTCAAATGCCATTACACTTTTCAATTTTATTTTAGTGTTTCGACATCAAGTTCAGCATCGACATCATCAAGCGTTTCAACTTCATCAAGGTAAGGAAAGACAATGGTGTTACATTACTTCCTACGCCTTTTTAAAACGTTTTATCGTTTGTTAATAACATCGTGTTAACCTCTGCTTTCTTTTTCCTTTTATTGCTAATACCATCAATATAAAACCATTGAAACACAGGTATTTTTATTGATATCATCATTTTTAGCGCGTCAACTTCAAGTTCAGTGTCAACATCTTCCTCGGCGTCGACGTCATCGAGTGTTTCAACACCAACAACGACGAGGTAGGAATAATGCTTAAAAGACCTTGTTTCTAGACTTTGTGAGAAAGCCTAACTTTATTCCTAGATTATGTTGGGCTACTCGTAGTTCTTTGGTATTTCTTAATCATATAATTGCATCCACTTTATCGTCAATCTCAACATCTTCTGGTGAGTTAACCCCGTCAAGGTAAATAGCCATCTAAATTTTTAAAGATCATTACGTGTGATCTCAGAATTACATCTTTACCTCTTGGTATAAGTACTTTCTTTCGGGGAACTTTTGCAAGGTTATTCGGATTAACAGATGAATTTAGATTTAAAAAGAAGAAAGGAAAGAAATCGTTTTGTTTAAGATGTATTATAATATCTCTCCTAGTGCCTCTACATCAAGTTCGGTATCAACATCATCCAGTGCTTCAACCTCGTCGTCACGGTCAACATCATCAAGTGCTTCAACTTCATCATCGGTATCGACATTCTCCAGCGTTTCTACGTCGTCATCAGTGGCGACATCGTCAACTGCTTCAACCTCGTCGTCAGCGTCGACGTCATCAAGTGCTTCAACTTCGTCCTCAGGGTCAACATCATCAAGTGCTTCAACTTCGTCCACAGCGTCAACATCATCGAGTGCCCCAACATCGTCATCAGCGTCGACATCATCAAGTGCTTCAACTTCTTCGTCAGTGTCCACATCATCAAGTATTTCAACATCTTCGTCAATTTCGACCTCATCGAGCATTTCAACATCGTCGTCGGCATCAACATCATCTAGCGCTTCAACATCATCATCAGCGTCTACATCGTCCTCTGTTTCGACACCAACTACCACAAGGTAAGGACTTAATGTCGTTGAGATTACTATAGATGTGACCATTAAGTCTGCGCTCTGGAATGCATTCATAAATAGATATTATACATGAACAGCTTGTCTCACAAAATCTACACCTACCTTTCATAAATAACTTTGAACGATTTTGATCTAAGCGTGGGTTTATGTGGTTTTGAATAGTCAGAGCTGTGCCAAAATATTATGAGCCTTTTATTCAGAGTAAATTTTAGTATATTGTATTTATTCTCCTTGAGCGTTCAAATCGACTCGTTGTCCCAAGTGTTTTACATGATCAAATGAATGACATAAATAATAAACAAAGATTAAAAACTCTGTACTCCACATGTACAAAATAGATATTTAAATTAAAAGCAACATAAAATAGGTAAGGCTTCAAGAAGCTTGAAACAAAGACAAAGTATTGGAATTTCTGATAGCACAGCACCAAAGAAATGATTTGTAAACTTTATCAAATATTAGTGGTGCTATTCTACATATGTTACAGTCGGTTTCTCATCTTGCTTTTTATTTCTCTCTAAAGTTTGTCTACTTCAAGTTCGTCAAGTGTGTCAACTTCATCCAGGTATCAAAAAATTTATTTGATTCACAGACGTAATTTTAAAATTAGGGTTACGGCTTGAACGAAGCTACAAAGCCAACCTGAGAAACCCTTTAAGCTGCCTTTCTAACGCCGTTACATTTTTTTGTATCATTTAGTGTTTCGACATCAAGTTCCGCGTCGACATCATCAAGTGTCTCAACTTCTTCAAGGTAATGAAAGACGATTGTGTTACAATACTTTTCATGCTTACTTGAAATGTTTTTTCCTTTTATTTGAAGTTTATTAGGAGCATCGTGCTAAGCTCTCTATTTCGTTTTCTTTTTATTGCACATACCATCAACATAAAGCAATTAAAACGCGATTTTTTTATTATCATCATTTTCAGCGCTTCAACTTCAAGTTCCGTGTCGACATCATCATCAGCGTCGACATCTTCGAGTGTTTCAACACCAACAACGACAAGGTATAAATGACATTTTAGTGACCTTTTCCTGGATCTCTAAAGGTGACAACTTTAATTTAATTCTTTTAAGGCTTAACATAATAATTACGAAAGAGATGTATTGACTTTTGTATAAAGGCCCGTGCAAACGCTCGCAACAACACGCAACATCGTTGGGCCAACATTGCTGTCTCCTGTTGCGCGAAGTTAGCCCATGTGTGCAAAGGCTCGCAACAAGTGACAACATGTTGGGTCTTTAGATGAGAAACTGTAGCCTGTCCAAATAAATCCAACTGGATTTGTAGTTTTCACCTAGTCCTTGGCCAGATATTTTTGCCTCTCGGCCAACTTGAGCACGCAAACTAGTAATCTTCGCCTTGATTTCTGCAACGTCAATGTCCAGAATGTCTCTCATCTCTTCGGAAGCTCTTTCGCGTTTGCTTCGCATGTGGTAATCCTTTTTGTTGACATCCTACAAGCAATCTTTTTCCCCAAGAAGATCGATCAGTTGATCGATTTCCGATTCCGTCCACCTTCTAGCTCTTCCTCCGTCTTTTCCGTCACTAGCCGCTTTCTTTTTGCTCTTGGTTGCTGTTAATTCCCCGATTAATTCCTCGTTCACGTTTTCCATATCCGACACCATGTTGATTTCTTGTTCGCATGTATTTGTGTTTTGAAATCTCAGTGGATACGTGGCATGTAGTGCGCATGCACCGGCGCAACATTGTTGGATGTACTGTGAAAACGAACGCAACATTGTTGGACCACGCTTCGATGACCACGAAACAAGAGAAACGTTGGCACTTGTTGGCTCTGAAGTTTGACCAGTTTCAAACCTCATCCAACAACTTCCAACAAGTCGTAACAACACGCAACAACACACAACATGGTGTGCAAACGGTCGCAACATGTTGGGCCCAACAATGTTGCGTCTTGTTGGCCAACAATGTTGCGAGCGTTTGCACGGGCCTTAAGCTTGGTATAAAAGTAGCCCCTTTGTTGTACGTGTTTTTATATTCGCCTCGTCGTAAATTTCAAAATCTGTCATTTTCAGTCTCAACAGACACACTTTGTTACTTTCTATAACGATATGGTCAATTTGGGTTTGTCCGTAGTCACAGTCATGTGCTCCTAAAGAAAATTATTTAAGCCTCTCAGATGTAAAGTTCCATGTAGTGATGATTTAATTATTATTCAAATGATTTTAAAAATGACCATTTATAAAATTTTTGATAAATTGTACAATACATTTCAGTATCTCTACATCAAGTTCTGCTTCGACGTCTTCGAGTGTATCAACTTCGTCGTCAGTTTCGACCTCCAGCTCTGCCTCAACATCAAGCTCTGCCTCGACATCGAGCTCCGCCTCGACATCGAGCTCTGCCTCAACATCAAGCTCAGCATCAACATCAAGCTCTGCCTCGACATCGAGCTCTGTCTCGACATCAAGCTCAGCATCGACATCTAGCTCTGCCTCGACATCAAGTTCAGCATCGACATCTAGTTCTGCCTCGACATCAAGTTCTGTGTCGACTTCATCATCAATCTCCACCTCATCGAGTTTGTCGACCTCGTCAAGGTATCGTTATTTCTTGAGCCTGTTTTGAGTGTCCTAAAGTATTTCAATGTTTTTTTAAAAGTTTACTTTACCGTGTAAATGATCGGGACAACATCGGGAATAAACCTTGCGGTTTAAAATGAAGCAGACCGCGATCTGGCATTTAAGAAGTTGGATGACGGGCCTTCAATTTGTCTTCAGTGAGTAATTGCAATGATCTTTTAAAGTTCTGTAACTGAATTGCAGCTGTTCAGGTGATATGCACTATGAGCACTCGTTGTAAAGATGCAAGGAGACAAGTATAGTTATCGTTCTGTAAATAAAAACGTTCAAGAAATACTCAGCTTTTTGTTATTTGAAGTCCTTATTTTTTTTTATTTCATAAAGTAAAACGCCAACCTCAAGTTCTCGCAGTACATCATCAAGGTACGTTGTATATTTTCCACCGTTCTTACCTGAAACTTAATCAACGGTCAAAAACTCACAAACCTAAAATATCCTGATTTACGTTTTGAAAGAAATAACATTTAACAGTTTGATGTACTTTTCTTCTTACAGCTCAAGTCTTACCTCCTCAATTTCTTCTTCAATCTCACCGACTACATCCTCATCAGTTTCGACATCTGTCTCAAGTAGTAAGTGATTCAACGATTTTAGCAATTGTTAATCTCTATCATCATAGAGGAAATTTATTTAAAATTGTGTTTCCTATCAAATTTCTTCCCAACGCCTAAAGCCCTAATTTCGAAAAACGGTTCACTTCGATCAAGAATTAAATTTAATAGCTTTAGACTGTAAAAACTAACTTTTGGGGGCGTTATTCTTTTTTAGCAATAACCCTTGGCGCAATGGTACTAAGCTAAATCGAATTTAATGGGTTTTTTTTACGCCTTAAAAACCCCTTTAACTACATTTGCACTTATGATTAAAAAACTGGAAAGTACCACAAACATGATGAATTTGACAAAATTAGGAAGTAATTTTCTCAAGGTGTCTAGTAATTACATGTTTTTTGTGTATGCACGTCACAATTTGTGACGTGCCCACGTTTTTTGCAAAGTAATTCTATTTTACTTTTTCTTTCAATTCCAGGTTCAATCTGTCCAATTTGTGTATACAAAAACAGATTAAATGAAACTGAAAAGCATTACGTAAGTCGAGATTGAGGTCCATTTCTTTCTGTAACTGTTACCAAATATTTCTTGCCCTCTATAAACAGTATACTGCAGTATGCTGCATAAACCTTTTGGTAAATCAGGCGGCCATTCGATTTGAAACCGTTACAAGGCTCTGATAGACCATCAGGCTCTCTAATACTTATCTGCTAACTTTCTGGGCCGATCACGACTGGAGTCACCCTTTCACTCTCAAGATCTGGTTGTCAATTCTCCTTCTGGCTGCCACACTTTTCCTTTTAAACTAGTGACACGAATTTTTTGAAAGATTAAGCTAACCTCTACCTAATACGTTTCGGTATTCTTATAACCTTGTTCGCTGGATAAGTATGGAAATCAATGGGAGAAGTTACTAGTTAATTACTTCTAGGTGTTCATTTTCCTTCACGTCTCAAATTAAGCGATTTAGGAGTAGTATGTTGGGCCTGTAGAATAATAACCGAGAGGCCTCGGTCCGAGTGTCTCGGCCGAGTAAGATCTAATTAGTTATTCAGGTCACGTAGGTGTACGAGTTAACATAATCTCGAGCATGCATGTTATACATTGGTTTCTTGACAGACTGTTTTCAAGAAAAGCAGTTTACAACTGTACCGTGACTTATTCTGAAGCATTTTCTTCGTTTCATTTTAGGAGGGAGAATCCTGGAAGGATGGACCTTGTAAGACTGTTAAATGTAAAGTAGTTGCTAATGACTGCTTTGAAAACAACCAAGTTGCCCTAATAGAAGTCTACATACAGGAATGTTCTGAATGTCCTAAGGTGAGTGGAGTGCAATCCTTGCAGTGATTGAAATCGAGCGCATTTCTTTTATTTTGTCAAAACAGTTTGTAGATCAAATATTACCTGTTATAAGACTAAATACCTCGGTAGGGCTTTAATAATTGGCCGCCACGAGTCCATCACGTTGCACATAGGTGTGATCCTGGTAGCAAACAAAAGAAGTAATTATTTCTCTTTTTTAAAGGGATACCAACGACCATCATCAGAAGATCAGTGCTGTCCAAAATGCGGTTTGTATTTATTCTATTCTTCATTCAATATATTTTCTAAAGATGGGGGGGGGGAAGGGGGGGGAAGGGGTGAAAACGACATGTTATGTTGTTATGTGCATATATTTCTCTCTTGAACAGGCAACTCCCAAAAAAATCTCGAATTCAATGTTTGCCATCTTCTTTCAAACCGTCTAGTACAATACTGTTTTCAACCTAGTGAAACAATCTTGAAATAGTCTTGGCTGATTTTAATGTTGGATGGGACAATTTTTTATTGCGGTTTTGTAGGCTTGACGTTTCAAACGATAATCACACTTAGTTTACTATAATGGCTCATATGCATGCGATATTTTTGGTTTATTTTACAGTAAAAACGGAAGAAGATGAGGAGACCTGCAAACTATACCATAACCCGATCCCGAGACACGTTACAACCATCGACGGCTGCGTCTCGAAGGAAAAAATAAATGTCACTGAATGCCGTGGTAATTGTTACTCAAAGACTGAAGCATCAACCGTACCACCAGGTTACAAAAAATGCCACTGCTGCAAGCCAAAATCTGAATACCTAACAAAAATCAATGTCACCTGCACGAGAGGAGGTGAGGTTGAGGAGAAAGAAGCCGAGTTACTTGTCATCACGGAATGCGAATGCGGGCCACATAGATGCGAGGCAACAGCTTCACACCGCGGTGAAGAAATTCGGAACGAAGACAATGAGCTCGTGGATATGAAGAAAAAGCGCCGTCGCCGCGCCTTGTCGCGTCTCTTTGCCCTTCCTCCGTAGAGAAGAATAACAAGGGATATATATTTACCGATATTGTAGAAACAAGAGATGAATTTTGGGTTGAAAAGGAATAAAAAGAGAACAAAAATGTCAGTGGAGTTCAAGGGAACGATGGGATATTTATATGAGTGAGATTAATTCTATACAGAGACTGCCTTTCTCGAAATAAACTTGATTAAATGGGATTTAGGTTGTCTCATTTATTTCATATCTCTGCTTAAGTTATATTGTTAAAACTCGCCCCGTATATGCAAATGAAAGCCTGTCGGACAGGTAACTGTCGGCCTCACCCCATTGTAAGTTCTCCCCTTACGGATTCTGCAATTGCCAAAATTTTTTGTAAATGCACTCAATCCGTTTGAATATCGAGCAATTGTGAAATCGCTTTGTTTTCAAATGATTGCTTTGCGTAGTCGTGATAATATACAATTGACAAATGAAGATTAAACACCGCCCATAGACAGAATTTACAGCTTTGCAGTCCTTAATCTTAAGAATTTTAGCTCCTATTAGACTTAAACTCCCTGATTGGTGACTTCTAGTCAGCGAGCTTTGTATGACAGACAAAACTCATCATCCATCAAATATGCATTTCTCTAATCAATCCAACCCTGTTCACTGATTTTACAGTTGAAGATGTGTTTGCCCAAAATTAATCGATTTTGGCTCATCAAACGCGTTTTCGAGAGTCACACGGAGGAGATAAAAAAAAATGGAAAGGTTAGATATGTCTTGTTCGCCAGCTTTTTTTGCCGCAAAAAAAAAGAACGAGGGTTTTATCCAGCTATCTTGACCAAGAGGATTTTCTTTCTAGAGCAAAAGGATTTCGCTTTAATAACAATCTAGGATGACTTGTTAAGTTCGAGAGCCAAGAAAGAAAGCCAACTGTATTCAAAGCACACTAAACTCTTAAGGGTCGTTTATATCTCCTTTGTTTGGAGTCTTGTGCCTCTTTTCGCGGCTTCATCGCCGACATTGGGCAAACGTCACGAGTTTTGTGGGTCCGCTCCACGAATTATGATTTTCTTGCGCGGTATAAAAGCGCGCAATCTCGAGCGGAAAAGATGGGTACATCTTCCCTGCTAATCCAAAGCAGCGCCGAAAACTCGTAACCCGAGTTTCAAATAACACTCACGCAACTCGCGTGAGCGTAATTACACTCGCAAACTTATTACACTCACAACTCGATCTGTCCGGAAACAGCATAAATAACGGCCTTCCTGAATAATTTCTTACGGTTTTATCTATTGACAAAATATAACTTTTTCTTTCTATTTAGTACTTAGGTGGTAGATTAGTGCATATCAGCGACATGTCGACCAGAACCTCACGCTATGATGATAACTGTACGCTGTCCTTGGTATAACCATGACACAGAAGGTGGAAAAACTTTTATTTTTACAACCGCAAAACTTTGGAACTCTCTACCTATTAATATAAGATCTAGCACCAGTATTCACGCATTCAAACAGAACTATTGTAATTTTATAAAGAAAGGTTATGCTGGCTTAGAAAGCTTTCCCATTTTATAACTTTTTCTATCCTCTGACCCCTTTTTAAAATTACATTTAGTACTACTATTTTTACCATTTTTAACCACTTTTACCTTTTTAATTCTAGTAATTAGTTTTATATTTTAGGGGCGATCAGCAGACGAGCTATGATTCCTTGGTTGTAAAGATACTTAACGTATCAATAAAACTAACAAAATATAATTGACCAATCCTAATGAAGAGTTGTATCACACCTACTATATTGATCTTAGCCATACGCATTGATGTGTTCGTCCCTTCGGAGGTGCAATTTAAGGTATCTTAAAGTCCCTTCTTCGGACTGCTCCACGTTTGAGAACATCCAGATTTATCCTTCAAAAGTTTGTATAAAAATGACTAACTTTGTAACGAAACGACTTTTTACATCTATAGAAACGACTTTATCGATGCATCGAATCGACTGTGTCGATGTTATCGAATCTACTGGTCCCCAGAGAAAACAATATTATTTAGTTTGGTAAAAGGTTTAGTACTTAATCTTTAAAGAATTAAAGTGTTCGACGAATGAACGCAAGTTATAGTAATAACTGTATGTATGCCGATACTTATTTTTCATCTGGACAATAAGAATATTAAACAAGCGAGAGTTCATAATTATAAAAAAATACATTAAGAACTGTGATCGTTACTGAAGTTACTTAAATTCAAGAGTGTCGGAGTTCATCTCAACCCTCAGCTCATCTAGAAAACAAATCAAGTGCCGTGCCTCTGAGATTGATATATTTTGGTAGGAATTAAATACCACTACAGATAACAGACCCTACGATGGAACCGAGTTCGATTTACGTATTAAATACAGATAACAGAATTAAATACAGATAACAGACCCTACGATGGAACCGAGTTCAATTTACGTTTCCAATAGGTAATCGCTAGATGTCGGGAGAATTCCTTAGATAAAAAACTGTATTCATCATTAACATGGTGAGCCAGCAAGATATTTGGGAGTGTGGGAGGGAGGAAAAATAGTCCTGACAAGAGAGCAGAGTTGCTTGTCTCGTTCGTGTAAGAATAAAGATAGAGATCACGTTCAACGACCACCTATTCTAATGGGAAAGTTCCCTCTGATTGAAAGGTTATAGAATTCTCAGGTGAGGTCATCTGAAAAGTCAGTGATCGAATGTGTTGGCAAGGCTGACTCAAAGCCTAAACAGAAACTTACTTGTTGATTAACAAATGTATTTTCTATTTTCAATACATTATGATACAATACTCAAGGTCATTTTATTCATGACGATGATTAGCTTCGACAATGTTGAATCAGTGAAGGCGTTTGAAGCAATCTTTCCATAGTACACTCCACGTTTGGTAACTAGCCATTCTTTACTTGAAAATCAACATAAAGGGCGGGTCTTGGAAAATCTTACGGGGCTAAAAGAAGTTATGGAGTCAAAGCGAATGTATACATGAAGGACACTGTTTGCTTTTTCATGTTATTAATGACAGGTCTGTCTCATGGACGTTTTATTGCATAAATTGTGGCGGCAATTTTCTGTAAACGTGCGCCTTCGTATTTGAATTCTAATGACTTAATACAAAAGCAATACAGCTGTCACGAAGGAAAAGAAAATGGACAAAAGAACAATTCACCATCTTTGACCTCCATGGTATCTTCTTCGATCGCGATTTCGACTTTTCAGCGCTCCTAATTCATACACAATTTATCAACTTTACCAAAGTTCATTTAGTGAAGCTGTGACTTTGCCTTTTAATTGTGAGGGTTTCAATGGGTTGACGGCTATCGTATTCAAATTCAAGGCGAATATCTATTGTTTGAGTTCGTCAATGTATTTACGAAATCTTTGATGGAATGAATCTTACCAAGGATGTGGACTGAGGTTGATTTTCCTCAAATAACTACCCAACACTATTTGCGTCTCTCGTGTTTTTAATGAACAAACATCGTTTCAACATCATTTAAAGCCAACAATACTTTAAACAAGAGTATAAAAATAACTTTGCATTTCTGTAACTACTAACTAATATACATGTATCTGAGGACACTATGTTACATTGCTTAGAGTCCTGTAAAAATATTTCATCTTTACTCATTTAGGGAAGGAAGAAAATCGATTACTTCTGATTAAAGAGTCTGAATGAACCATTTCGTTTTAAATGTCACGTCAAACTTCTTAAAAAGGATTTCTAGCATGTAATTCAGATATGAGAAAGGCAGATTTGCCACAAAAGGTTGCTTGTTGTAAGGCCTCTTCGTTACAATGTGACTTATTTTTGTATTGACAACTGTACTTGTTGACAAATTTATGAATAGCGACCGGAATACAGAGAGCCTTACAAGTTCATCATGATAAAATCAGTAAACTTATGTTAAGATAAATCATCTAACTTGAAATGTTCTCCACTGAAGGCACGGCCCTACCTTATGAACCGTGACCAATGTTTACCAGGAATCTGGTTACTTTCGGCGAACGAGCTTATGGATATTCATATAAATAATGGTATGAATGTTCTTCAATATAATTTAACAAGTACATTGCTGTATAGAAATTGCAGGTCGTGTAAAATAAACCGCTGCGAAGCGCTAAAAAGTGCTTTGAACGTATTGCGTTGAGAAGGGAGGGGGGAGATGATATACAAAATTAGAAACCAAGTATTCATCTCTATATACAAGACCATCTGTGGAAAAAATATATTACTTATAAAAGGTTCTTTCCAAACGGAGGTAATCACAGCCATTGCCCTTTAACTGTGATTGTGACCTAAAAATAAGAGAATAAAAACTTTGTGAAGCCAAATTTTCCTTTCAGCAGCAGCAAATCACCGTGGATGCAGCTTGTGAGAAGGAATTCAGCAACAGGATTTTTTCTGAGTTCAGATAGCTGCAACTAATCAGTTAAATGGTTGCGAGAATTCTCGAAAGTTATGCAAACCCGACCCGCACTCGAGAGTTCGCATATCTCCCTCGGGTTTTCCCACCCCCCTCGGGTTTTTCCATCCCCAGGTACTTTTTTTAGTTACCATTCTCTGGTCCAAACACAGCTGTCGACCTTACAGAACGCATGTCAAATTTCATTCCCCTCATAAAGATATATACCCCAAAACGGGTAACATGATTATGGTCTCACAAGACAAACTTACTCCAAAACAAAATACGTCGCACTAGCCAAGTGGCCAAAAACGACAAGAGAGATTGTTTAAGTTTCCGCGACATCACATTGCGAAGAACTCCCCTAGATGGCTATTCGTCGTATTAGGGGTTTACCCGCCCCCACCCCCTTCTGCCTCTCTCTTCTCCGCCATCCAGCAGTTTTGTCAAGTTTCTCTGAAAGATCACCAGTACCCATTTAGAATCGTAAGAGGAGAGGGGTAACGTAAGGGGTACTGTAAGAGCTCTTTATATCGCCCAAGAAAACCAAAATGCAAACAAGCCCTGGAAATCTGGGGGAAATCTTTCTCTCTCCTCATTTGAAGATTTCAAGAAGGATAAGTAAAGTACTTGCTTGAAATCCAAACGCGATAAAAACTTACCAACGATTTAAATGTTATGCCGGGATGAATTAATTCGTTTCAGCTGCTGTCGCGGCACTGGAGCGAGGACTGGGAATCGCTAGATCCAAGATCCACGTCATACAGCAGTGGAGTGCCTAGACAAACACAGAGCGAACGCACAAAACATTATAGATTTATAGGCGTATTTGTGACATGCGCAGACGTTATTCAGTGCTGCCCTCTATTTTCAAACCCATTGTCAGCCCTGATCAAGATTTAAATATTACCTGTTGCCATCTGGAGTTAAGTTCGTCCATCGCCTGTTGTACTGGTTGGAATTCCGACGAGGAACAATACTCTCGCATGGCTTTTCCTTGGTGTAGCAAAGTTCTAAGCTTCGCATAGTTCATATTGATGAGTCTTTGTAAGCCCTAAAAGGATTCAAAACTAAGTTGAGATAAAAGTGTGGATCATGTTGTCTACTACATTTTTATCGTTATCAACCAAACCATTGTTGAAAAGCCCGCAGTACGTGTCTGAAGCTATGCAAGATCTGCTATATAACATCGGCTCCTTTAGCAAATGACTTCAAAAGTCAGAACAAACTTATCTGCGGCTCTGTATAACATTCTGACCTAAGCGTCAGCTCTAGAGAATAATTAAAAGCACCACATAAAAACAAAACAAACAAACGAAAATAAAAAGCAAAAAAAAAAAAAAACCTTCGAGTACCGTTCATTTAAAAGAATCAAAAACTTAAAAATGTAAACATGGCTTGGTAAATATCCATCATTACTTACTTCCACTCCGGTGTATAATTATTAATCAACTAATATTGTACAACACTAGGGGAGAGACCATTAAAAGTAAGTTAATACTTCAAATAAATGAAGCCCTAATACCTTAAGTTTTTCAAGCTGAACTCTCGGCTCCGCCTCCGAAGTATAAGGATCGAGGGTAATCAGCTTGAGTTCCGCTTCCGTTAAAAAGCTGTACACCTCCTGCCGAAGGGTTTCAAATTTTTCCACCTTGTCCGACAACTTGCTATAGAGATGGAGACGATTTTCTACGCGACTAAAAATCGCTCCCCACCGGCTCTGTATTGACTCCACCCCAACTCTGACATCGGAAGCAGAAGTAGTATTGGCTTCCAGCAGCAGGTATTTACTCCGCTTGATGATACGCTCCATCTGCGGACGATGCGAATTGACGTCTTTCAGAAATACCTGGAGGAGAATCAAAGAGAATTATTTTGCGTATCCTAACTTGCTCTAGAAACGACGGGTTTCAAAACAATGGACACGATAGGGCCGGTTATTTGTACGAGATCTAACAGAAACCACGGTTTTACGCAGTCAGAGGGCCTGAGGCTTTCTCTATAAGAGGGTTGAATTGATTAAATAAATGTCCTTCCACTGTTAGCTTTCGGCCCTCTTGACGATGTCCACAAAAATAAAATATTCAGATAATCAGATAAAAGGTCGTGCTAAATTGAGGATTGTTTAGGACGCAATTTTGTTGAATAACGGCTAAACTTTGTTTATATAATCAGACCTATAAGTCGAGTACAACTCTGAAAAAAAAAATAAATAAATATAGGCTGATTATAATCTTACACAATAATCTGGATTCCAACCTTTAGGCTAGCCTTACCTCAAACCTTTTGAATTTACTCTTTGAGACCTCCAATCCTGATGACATTGCTTCCTCAGATTTTGTAACAGATGCTTCTGTCAGGTCAATCCACTCCACAAACTTCTCATATTCGTTCCAAAACTCTCTGCATAGCACCATTCTCTCTTCCGCTTGCCTTCTTTTCGCTGACACAGTGTGGCGAGCATTTATCCAGCGGTTTTCAAAACTCTCTTTAGTCCTCTGGAGACTTTGACGATCCTCTTCTGAAGGGCAAGCCATGCGATCCCGGCGAAGTTTCTAGAAATTAATGAGACATACATTTTGTTATAATCACTGACCACAATACTGTGCGGGGGACTTTACCAGACTGCCAGTGGCAGTTTACAATGAACAAAGGCGAATTATTTACAGATGCCCCCTACCCCCAATTGCTGTAGCCAGGCCAGACCACATCTCGGGATCTCGTGATGTGCGTTCTTTAACGTCCCCTGCCTAATCAAATTATCTAATTAAAGATGCAGGGAGACGGGACCTACGGTTTATTCGTCCTTATCCGAGAAGACTACAATGTCCGTCCATTTCTTGATATTATAGAAGGTTAGCACATTCTTCTCAGTTATTTTAAGACTATGAGTGTTGGTCCGGCCGGAGCTCGAACCCTCGACCTCCCGCACAACAGTCCAGCGCTCTAACCAGTTGAGCTAACCGGGAGGCGGTTAGCTCAATCTCTATAGAGGTTCTGCATGGCAGCCATGTTGAATGGCAGGAACAATCAAAATACTTTGCATAAGAAAGAAAATGTTTTCCCATGGGAAAAATAATATATTGTTCCTGCCATGCAACATGGCTGTTGTGCAAAAGCTCTATACGGTGGATCGCGCGCTATGTTTGTTGACACATCCGCTGGGCCCAGAAGGTTGGTAAGAGGTCAATCACAAGTTATTATTGAATAATAGAACCTATTTTCATTCAAAGAATACCTCACACAATCGGAGAACCGTTTGTACGTCAGTGGCGCGTCGTTCTACATCTGTTTCAGTATCCTACAAATTAAAATGAACTGTTCATTCGCACATCCTTAAGTGAAATTAATTCAGTCGCTCAGATTCATGTTACGGCTTGCGGTAGTTGACAAGTTTTCTTTAAAACACATGTTTAGCCTTACATACCACTCACTGGAATGGAATTACATTCAAACCTATAAAGGGTTCTGTGATAAGTCTGTTGGTTAAGTCACCTAACCTCCATTTTCAAACCTGACTTACCAAGTTTTGGGCAGATTTAACCCCTGAAAACTTTTTCCGTGGCAAGTATTGACAAGCGCCGACAAAACATTTCTCCGTGTTTATTTCTCTTTCATACTGCCAAAAACATGTCAAAATAAATTTTTCTTGCAAATTTGCAATGGCAAACTTAAAATATATTTTCAATTGCACAGAGATAGAAAGGTTGCCAAGCGAACGCTTCTTGAAAAGTTTGGGAAGGAAAAACTTCTTGCATTTTCTAAAATGCACTGTCTGCCGAAATTGTGCTACTCCAAATGCGACTTCATTTCAGTCTGTTTTCAGATTAAAAAGGAATGCTTATTACTGTACGACACAAGGTCGTGACAATCGACAGAAACAGAGAAAAAGGTGGTTCCGGACATTTTGATAATTACCTTCATTTCCTTCACTTTCCTTTGAAGCTCGGAAACAACACAGGAGCTTACGACAGAAAATTCCCTCAATTTCGTCTCTACTTCAGCCATCCATGTGTTGAGTTGCTTGAGTTGAATCTCCAATAGTTTCAACCCGTACCTGGTTTCCTCTGCCTTCTTGTATGTGATTCCCAACTGCTGACACAAAGCGCGCCAGCGGTCATTCAGGTTTTTCTGTTTCTCAGCAACTGCACCTGCGTAAGGCGTACCACCCGCCTTGCTTATGACGTAGTACGCACTTTCGTTCAGAGTCGACCTGGTGTTCTCGTGACCTTCTATGTCAGCTACATAAACCTGTGTAGATAAAAAATGCAATGGTTAACTTCCATGCTAAGGGAACCATGCCACAGTTTCACAAAGTTTCTCATAAGGAGCTTTCCTCGAGGTGAAGATGGTAAAATAAGGCAAGTTTTTCCACGGCAGGTGATCTCTGAGGTGGCAAGAAAGAGAATGCAGCTTCAAAGTGGTACAGCTTTGGAAATAGTCTCTGTGAAATGTAAAGTATTATCAAATACCATTTTGAAGAAAAATAACTTTTGTTTACAAAATGATTGTTATCATCGCCACACAGCATTCTCTAGTGCTTGACTTGCATCATATCCACTACAAGCATGCAAATAAATCTGTTCCCGACTGGAATCTGCGACATTATCACCTTGCCGACTGAGGCAAATAGACAAACGAGCCAAACGTCTAAGACATCAAACCTGAAAGACGGTATCTCCTTGATCATCCGGGATACTGAGAAACGACTCTTCAAGTTCACGTGTTACCGACGACTCAATATTAACCAACCAATCAGAGAGGGCTTCATGCAGTTGACTAAACTGTTGGAAATGTCTTAAGATCTCAGCCAAGGACTGCATGGAACTTGACAGTAGGTGACAAACGCTTCCCCAAAGAGTGGTCATGGAGGCAACTTGTTTCTTGATCCGTTCTGAGTCGTACTGATCCGTTGATTTCGAAAGCTCTTCCGCACGCCAGCTGATTTTATCCAGCTGAGGTTTCCGTTCATCGATCTCTCCGGCGATAGCCTATGGATGGTAAATAGAACTTGTTGCCTAAAACTTACGAACTCTTTAATTCCCAAAAATGTAACTGTTCCTCAAAACATCAATAAATCATTCTACATGGCTAGTAAGTTGAAAAGTTAGTGTCGAGCCCTGATGTATGCTGTTGCTAATAAATAAATAAATAAATGAAAAGTTTCTTTGCATCTAAACGACTGATATGATAAATAAGTCGGTCTGCGAAAACGCTGCATCATAGGTGGAGTATGAAGGGAACTTTCTCGTTTCGGTACTATTTCCCTCAGTTTGAGGTTTCCCTCACACTTGCACGTGCTAGAATGATGGCCTACCGTAAATTGTGTGTCAAAAGGCTTCTGGACCTCAAAGCTAGAAACGCATGTCGAAATACGCATCAACGTTCCATTAAGAATGCTCAATATTACACTTGATGTAGTTACCTTCATGGCGCCTAGCTCCCTCTCAACGTCACGAACTGTTAGGGCCTTGGACTGAGCTCTGAGTACTTTCTCCTTCTCTCTCAACCACACCATCAGGTTCTCAGTGAGTGACGTGTACTCCTGCCAATCTTTTAGTGAAAGCTCTAATTGTTGCTGGTTGCTTGTCACACGATTTGTTATCATTGTCCATTGCCTCGTTACCTTGTCGAGTTCTCTGGCGGCTTTGTTACCTAAACTTCCTGGAGTTTCTTCGATTATCAGCTGACCAGTAGAGCAGAAGTTGTTGTACTCTGGTCTGTGAGCATTGATCTCCTTTTGGCACATCTAGAAGTATAAAAACAACTTTTTGGCAAAACCATTACTTCCATTTTCAGGTTGCCACGTTAAGTGTTTAGAATGATAACGCGCTATGCTAAGTCAGGCAAACAAGAGTAGAGAGATGGTTTCCAGATAAGAGTTGACCACTACTATCTGACTGCGTGTTATGCTGTTGATAATTACTTCGGGATATTCCCTTTCGCTGGAAGGAAAACTTTAGGGTTGCTGGAACAGAAATGCGCCAAAGAGGTAACGGAATGATCCTCGAAGGTGAAATGCAATTAATGAAAATTCAGATATTTTCCTTATTTCAGTTGATCTAAGTGGATAATTTTGTTACCTGTTATCACCCACAGGTTAGACAGGGCTCGACACTAACGGTAGCCAACTAGCCACAGACTAGTAGAAATTCAGTTTTGGCTAGTGGTTTTTTATTTCCACTAGCCAGTTTGGCTAGTAAACAAACTGAAATTGTTGTAACATCTAAGTTGTCACTAACCATTTGGCTAGTAAGTTGAAAAGTTAGTGTCGAGCCCTGAACTTTTTAGACTTAATTCATTTCATTGGATACGCAATCTTCTTTGTTTTAGTGGATTGCCCTTTGGGGGATCATTTCGTTCCTTCTTATCATCCGCAAGTTAAACTACGATTATGTCTTTATACTAGCAGCAAACGCCTGAGGGCTATAGAAAAGAGTAACAAAAGTGACAAGAATAGTAAAATGTGGAAAAGTTCGGTATGGATTTGAAAATTTTGTTTCAACATCGTTACCTTGACATGTTCAAAGTGGACCTTCATTTGTTGAATGCTCGCGGACGATGGAACTGTAAATCCGCTGTGCGTTTCAATTCCATCCATCCACTTTATCAAAGCTGAACTCACACATTGGAATTCTTTCAATCTTTCATTCTGCCGACCAACTTGCTCTTTGTGTTCATCTGCTCTCTTCAGCACAGAGCTCCATAATTGACGTACGTGCGACATATTATCATCAAGTCGTGTCTTGTAATTGCTCCCTGTGAGCACATCTTGATCAAGATCTTCTGACTGACGAAGCAAAGAGTCGAAATCCAGACGGTATTTTTCGAAGTTGGTTTGGAAATCCTACAAAAAAAGACAACACAAAGGAATTAAATAAAAAGCGTCGTTTAACAGAAAAAAATGCAAATGTAAGAAGTTGGATGACGCCTGAGATTCTTGCTAACTAGCAAATAATAATGATAACGACAATGACGGCCCTGTCAACCATTAAACTACCAAAACAAAGCCATCTAAACAACAAACAAAAAAAGAAAAGGGGTGAAAAAGCAACTTTGAGATTATCAAGGAACTTGCTCCCGATACTGGGACGAGCAAACAAGAATGACTGAATCAACGAAAATAATAACAAAAATAACAATAAAACAATGACAGCCGCAGCAGAACATAGACAGATAAAATACTCACCTCTACACGATCATGATTAAGAGCCATATCTGTCTGATCAAGGCTCGTGTTCTCCGTTCCTCGCAGAACAGTTTGTAAGACAGCACAGATTTTCTGGTGTTCTTGATCAAATTCCACTTGTCTTTTGATCGCCCGTTTGTTACCTTCAATTGAAGACGAAAGTTTTCTTCTGAACTGATCCCAGCGTTCCTCGAGCTGGGCTACTTGATTTTTCATCTCTTGAAATTCTTTCTGGTGAGTTCCATTTATCATATCATCGATGCCACTGTTCAATAACTCCAGCCTGTGATTCGATTCGTCGAGATCTTTTAAAAGTTCCTAATCACACCAAAAAAATGTCAAAAGTTCAGACGTGTGAGAATTTCTATGTGTTTTGTCTTCCGTTGCACAAAAGACTTTTTTTTCATCATGACATAGGCTCCTTTCGTTAGTAAAGGATCAGTATCATTTCTCTAGATCTAAAACCTTGATATGATGTAAATACTATATTTTAAATAGTGAAATATAGAGGTTTTGCACAGCAGCCATGTTGGATGGCAGGAACAATAGATTAATTTACCCCATGGGAAAAAAAATTCTATCTTATGCGAAATAATTTCATTGTTCCTGCCATCCAACATGGCTGCTGTGCAAAACCTCTATTGGGTGGCCATAAAAAACACACGGGAAATCATTAAAGCTTCACTTTTTATCTTTTCCTTGTCTTATTAATGTCTCCTAATTTATTTCTATCATTCAAGAAGTGGAATCAGCAAAATAGAAAAAAAAAGAAATTATGAGATTACAGACTTGTTAAGCAGGAGTAGGGCGAGCTCACCTCTTGTAACTCCAGTCTCTCAGAATTCTCGAAATCTCTCTCGTTAATGACTTTTGTTTCAGCTTCATCAAGCCACGTGACTAGGCTGTTAACCGACTCTTGTAGTTGCGTGAAGCTGCGCGTGGCTGACGCAATCCTGTAAATGGGACCGAAATAAGAATGACAAAAATTTACTTGCTAGAATCTGATAATTTCGAGAGAAAAAGAACATTCTCCATACGAGGGGAGGGGGATGTGGAGTAGGATTTTAAGAGTGGAGGAGCAGTGGCCCGCTGCCAGTGTTACCCGATGCCAAATGTGGTTTGGGTTCAACTGGCCCTTGCTGAAAGGGTTCTTTCGATCCCGCAAAAAAGCATATGCTGATTTCTTTTATCTTTCCAACGATAGAGAGGCAATAGTAGTAATGATAAAAGAGAAAAGCTACGCACTGCTCGTGTTTGGTTTGGAGCTGTTCCTCAAACGAGGAAAATGACTGGTTGACTTCATTCCTGAGCGGCGTGATGTGATTGGCTCCTGAATTGATCTTTTCTTTCAGTGAGTTTGCCATCGTGTTAATCGACGCCAGCCAATCACGGTGAAGTTCTAAATCCTGCTGCATTTGCTAAAATTAATAAAACGTAGGAAATATTAGTCCTACATAAAATTTTCAAACTCAGAATTAAATGTAGTCAAGCATTGTTTGAAAGACAGATGGTTTCTTTGTTTGCTTTGATTGGCTATACCTTACAATATGAAGAACAGGCAGTCAAAAGTGAAAGAGGCGTCTCCATAACATTTCATTTATGATTTTTTTTATTTATTTAGCTTCGCCAACCGGCAGGGACACCGCAACAGCTTGCGCCAATTACTGCGAGCCCAATAAACCCACCCATCTCACCCCAGGGGAGGACATCCATCACACAGTAATCTCGTGTGTGGGAAATTAACGTCTCCTACCCCAAAGCAAAACAAACAAACTAATGAAGTCTTTAGGAAGTCCTTTTCTCCTAGGTCTTGACTTCATGAAAGTCAATTCTCTTGGCACCCTTTTTCTGTTTCACGGAGGGGGGAGTTTACCTTAGCGCAAGAACTAACGAGAGTTTTGTTTTGTTTGTTTGTTTGTTTTTGGCCAGTATCCGTTTTACTAGGGTTTGGTTATTTTGAACTGTTTGTATCATTTCACACAAGAGCTTAAAAGGGCATTCATACAATGAGCTGAATTTTCGTTACTTGACAAATAGCTAGCTGTTGTAACTGTTCCGTGAGCGACACATCCCCTGTAACAGACTCATTGAGCACAACTGTCTGACTCTCGATCCAGGCAAGGATGTCTGCGCACGATGTCTCAAACCTCTGCCACTTCAACAAAATGTCTTCCAGTTCCTTTTCTTTCTTGATAAGACGAGAGGACACTGAACCATAGCGATCTGTCAGTAACGTAATTTCATTGGTCAGGCGTTGCGACGCCGAAGGCTCACTGTTTTGTGCCCAGTCTGTCGCTAATTCGGTTACTTCGCTCACTCGTCCACTCATCTCCCCAATGTCGACTCGCAACGCCTTCAAAGGAAAGTCAAAGTCATTAAAAATCTTCATCTTTACAACAAAACGTCTCAAGAGGCTGAGTCGATTGGAATCAAAGGAGGCCACCAGTCGAGAACTGGAGAGCACTCTCATGTGACTGCAACGTGACCCTAAGACAAAGACTTTGCTTCAATAATATTTACAAGTATTAACGCAATTTCTGTCATTTGATATGGTCGCTGAAAGAAACAAATTTTTCGGTAGCATTGTTGATACCAAACCCAGATTAAAAGTACCAAGTTCCGAAGTTACTTTTTAAGACACTGAAAACGTATTAATTGTATTCAAATATATTTTCATGGTGGACAACCTCTTCTGTTCTTTCGAGTACACTACGCCAGCGGGTGCTTACATGCCTCTATGGCATCTTTTAGTTCCCATGGTCTGGTAGTCCTTACCGTTCAGTTTCATTACATATTTGTCTGTGTAGATTGCTGAGTGCAAGTGCTAAGGTGTTATAATAATAATAATAATAATAATAATAATAATAATAATAATAATAATAATAATAATAATAATACTAATAAAGACAATAATAAAAAGACATCTATTTACAAAAGTGGAGTACGAACTCTAAGTAATATATAATCATAGCCCCTGCTGCGTAATTGCCTAGTACGTCTCGGCGGTAAAAGATCGTCAAGTGCAGTGATATTTGAAGTGATCTTGATCCATAGTTTGCTATCTCTGGTGGCTAAAATATCACAAATACTATATTTCTTCAAACAATATCCATATATCATAATAAAAGCAACCCCACACCTCGATAGCGTATGTGAAGACTGAAATAATTAGGCTTTTACAATCATTTTTTCAAAATGATTGTAATCGTATTTAGCTAACAAAGCATAGGCAAGAAGCTGTAAATATATCACAAATTTTCTTACTTGTAGCTGTTCGATTTGTGCCCTAAGTTCTTGAAAACTTCCATCATTTGTTCTTTCCAATATCCCTTCTGTATTACCCAGGATGTTCTTGATATACTCAATAGAAGCTTCATACTCTTTACATGCCTGTACAGAACTTTCCAGCCAAACTTCATACTCGTCAACTTTGGTGGTCAGTTCGGACCATCTCTCTTGAACTGTTTCAATAGTTTCTTGTAATTCATCCTGGTCGAAAGCGGTATCTCCACGCATGCGTTCTACCGCTGTTACAACGTTCTGCACGGCCTCTTGTTGTGTTACTAGGAACCCTTTCATTGCCTTGGTAACAAGGAAAATGAAAACGTAATTAATCCCAGCACCTGTTCAGAACTTGCACATAACTCATTTCGGATGCCTCAGTTTTGTATCTTATTGGCTTTAAGTATGGAATGAGTATGCTGGATCAATCACAGAGCAAAGTGAAGCAAAATCAATACAATACCGGATTTTTTTCAACTACCAATTTCAAATTGCTTTGAAATGACTTATGCACTTGCCCAGGAAAACTTGACCACCATTCAATTAATTTTTCTTATCTTGTCAAGTTATCTGCGGAAGAAAATGCCGACGAGGTCTCCTATCCTTAAAATCTGGAATTTCTTATAAAGAAACCAAGCGACTGTGATTTTAATTCAAGGGGAATGGTTGCGTACGAGCAGACGGTTTCCTTTCAACTTCACGCTCAAGCCAACACTAAGGAGTTCCTGCTTACTGCGTTTCCTTAATCAATCAGCAAGAACACAGGACTATTGATCTAGATAACTTACCATCCGAAGCATGGAAAAACGTCTGCAAGAAACATTGGCAGTATTAACACACGACTGTAGTTACCCACCTTCACATCTTCCAAAGCGATCTCGAATTCCCTCTGAGTCACAATCCTCTGGTACTTTCCCAGCGTCTCTTCTCTTTGTTCAAACCATTCATTGATATTTTTTAGCTCCGTGTAAAGTTTCTGGAAGTCCACCCAGCTGTTGAGCGCGTGCTGAAGCTGTTCCTCTCTTTCCGACAAAACCGCCATGAGTTGTGTTTTCTGTGTGTTGAGCCGCCGCACTCCCCCTGAGACATTCCTCACAGACGCGTTTCTCCTCTCGTTTAGTGACTGGTCCACCCTCTTGTTAAGTGATTCGAGAATTTCCCGTTTGGTGTCGAACTCTTTTTTGATTGTCTGCATTTTACAGAAATCAAAATCAGTGTCATTTCTACTTCTTAATCCACAAAACGTTACTGATAATGATACATAGCTGCCGTAGCAAACGATTTTCAAAACAAAATTCACGAAATACAACGGAAATGAAAGTACTTCTCAGGCCATATTTTTTGTAAAACAAATAATTTTGTCTCTGATGTCTCAAGATCTCCTTCTGTATTGCTTTGTAAACGTTTAAGAACAAGACTGCTTAATGTATTCGAATGAAATAACCCATACACGCAACCCATAAGAGGTCTAATGATACTCACCCTATATTTCCCAAACTGTTCTTTAGCATCTTCAAATGTAGCACTGCTGAGAACCAAAATTGGCTTGTCGACTGTGTCCAGGGCGCTTTTAAACCATGCTTCCAATTGCTCCACATCGTCTTGGCACTCTACGAGCATCAGATTGGTTTGTGCTCCTTGAAGCTCACTTTCACGGTCCTCAAGTAAGGCACACAATTCCGACCAGTTCTCGTCCAGTCGGGACTGACTTTCTATCAAATCTTCCGCATGTCCACGAGTCGATTCTTCCAACTGCGACGCAATTTCATCCAAGTTGTCTTTGATGGACTGCTGACGCTACACTTCACTTTGATAATGCTGAATAAAAAGAAATAAAACAATTAAATGACTACTTACGTAAGCCACATTTAAGCTAGAAAGGTCCCTCGTTGAGAAACTAGTTTTGAACAAAGGGACAATTTTTAAAACAATTTTCTAAACAATTTCTAAACAATTTTCAAGTATATATCTATATAACCTGACGCTAAATTCTCCTCTATTTCATGTCAAGGAATACACTCTCGCTTAAGTGCAGAATAAATAGCCTGTGTCAGTGATTATAACTCACTTTGGTTGTGCCCGTCATCATAAGATAGGATAAGAAAATTTGGTTTTGTTTATACGACATTTGCTCAATATATTTTTACAACAAATGTAAAAAAACTGAGCTTCTTTGGGAGGTTACTACAAAGAAATAACTTACCCTCACTTGTTCCAGTTGCCCCTCGATCATATCCAAACTGTCGTCGCAGATCTCATCGTTCCTCATCAGACTAAGTATGGACATAAGCCAGTCGACCAGTTCATCAACACCAGTCTGATATTCCCGCCAAAGCTGCAGGAGCCGTTCCATGCGTTGACGCTCGCCACGGGTTTCTTGACGTAGGGCGCGCCATCTCTCTCGGAATTGAGTAAGAGAAGTCTGGACATCTGCATTGCCTACAAAAGAAATTAAATCAAAGTAGGTTAAATCCTCCTGCAAGACCATACACTATAAGGATATCAAAGAGAAGAATTCTAAAAGAGCAGTGACAGCGCAAACATGAGAAATCTCGCCTCCAACTTTTATGGCCGGTGTCACATCTGTGTTCAGTTTCTTGTTAGTTTTTTGCTTTCTCAGAGTTTTTTCATTTCTTTCTATAACCCAAACTAGGATTCCAATTCGACATGAAATCAGTGGTCAAAGAGTTGCGTTGGGGATGTGCTACTTCTGAAATCCATTTTTTACCATAATTTCTTATTTCTTACTGCTATTTTACTAATAATTGGCTGATATCACACGGTTTACCTGACTGTCAAATATTTCTCCCAACCACTGCCATTTCAGTATAAATGATGCGTTTAAAAAGAGATCAAATTTACCCTCTATTAGCGATAGTTTATTGACTATTCCCCTTACCTGTTGCAGTGAGAACCTGTTCCGCCTCATACACCAAACCATCTTTGCTCGGCTGTCGCTCCGTAAGTTTTCGGTCTAGTTCACGATACTTCATCATTTTGATCAAAACAGCATCAATATGATCTTCACGCATTTCCCTTGCAAGAGCGAATGATTTTCGAGTTAAGTTGTCCAACCACGAATTGAACTTTCTCAAAGATTCATCAAAAGAATGCCACTGGATTAATACCGACTTTAGCCACTCGGCGTTCTCCTCGCAAACTTCGCACATGCTATCGGCAATTTTCGCCACATCTTCGTACTTAGGACCGACGACATCAGCATCCACGCGTTCTCCGCCTTGCGTCGCATAGTGTCGCATCATATCCACTCTCGACTTTTGGCTCTGAATGCTTCGGGAAAAGCCCTGGAAAATACACAAATCGCAAGTAAAGTTATTCAGATTTAATTTAGTTTGAGTACCCTAACAAGTCAGTCATAAGCAGATAAACTAAAAAAGGAACGATTACCATTTTCAGCCACCATATAATGCTCATTTCTCTGTAGTACTCTTTTACGGTGCTCTTTAATTTCAATTAAAACTCCCTCTAAAATAGACTGTAGGGAAATGACGCCCCCATGATACGCTTTCGTCACACTGGCAAACAAGAGACACTGAGGCTCATATCTTTTGAGAAAGAAGAAGCATGAATGTTTTACAGTCGTTTTGGTCTCGTAGTCTCATATACTAACAATTGCAAAGCGAGAGCGATGAAATTTTTAACTATTGTTCTTGTTGTCCCAGTGTGTGTTGTGTCTTCAAACCAGGATGCCTATCATGGTTTATTTGGTATTAAATATTTGCACTAAGATTAAACAACTACTTCTTTCTCTACGTTTGAGTACCTGGAACTGCTTCAGTCTTTCCCTCAGAGCTTCCATTGTAGGCGGCAAACTCTCATTATCAACCAGATCATGAAATGCTTTCTCTTGACCAGTTAACCACACGGAGAATTCCTGTAATTCTTCTTCGTACTGTTTCTTTTTTGTCCTTGGAGACTTCTTTTCCACGCTCGGGGGCGTCTTTATTTCCCGGGCGGGAGAGGTAGACTTGCTCCGCGGGGTATCTTTAGCCTCCGGCGTTTGTATCTCCCTAGGTGGTGAAGCCAAAACTACTTCCTCCTTCTCAGGAACGATGGTTTCCTGTAGAGGTTGTCTTGCAGGAGTCTTCACCTCAGAAACTAACAAACCTAAAGCCTTTAATTTCCTTTCTCGATTTTGCAGAATGGTGCGTATTCTACCCCAGCGTTTATTCAGGTCAGCAAGACGTGCCTTCTTGTGAGGACTGGCGCCTCTAGAGGATTCTTTGTATAAGAAATCATGAAGGGACTCATGGATTACCGCATGACTCTGCAAGAACTGTGAAAATAAGAATAAAAGAAATAATTTAATCTGACTATGGCAGCAGCTACAACTGTAAGGGTCAAAAACGTCTACTTTACTCTAATAGTAAACGAAGTAAACCTTCTAAATATAATAGTTTCAGGAACATAAAAATCACTTTATAATTACTTTCAAAATGCAAAGAAAGAAGAGTATCCCTTGATTAAAAGTTTTTTCCAAGCCCTGAAAATTCGTCATTACATAGACAACATCGAGGATTTTCGTGGGTTTATAGTCATTTTTTTGTTTGAAAAATATAATTTTTTCTTTCCTTTAAAAAGTAATATTTTTCTCCAAAGTCAAAATGTAACCGTAATATGCACCGCAAACAAACAGTGACCACGACCAAATGCAAACGTAAAATAACACTTCCATGGGTCAGGCTTTAGCGAGTTTTTGAAATTCTAGAATGTGTTTTGACGAAGATGGAATTTTACATGACATTTGATTTGCTCTCCATCATTTACTCTCGGAAAAATTTTCTGTGTAGAAAAATAAAAATTTATCTTGCTAGGACATTCAGCAAAGAAGAAACGAATACACTCATGTAGTTCATAGCGACAAAACAATTGCCGCATTTCAACTTTGCACTTTGTTACCTCGAAATAAAGCAACTCTAAATCTTTCTCATCCTCGTTAAAAGGCCCCAAATGTTTTACAAAGTCTTCAATTTCACCCAAAAGCTGTGACCATTCCTGGAGCTTCGCTTCAAAATCTCTTCTATTCAGCAACGCTGATTCAACTTTGACCATCGTTTCCACTGCTGACCGCAGGTGTTGTTGTTTGGACAGGACTAGCTTGACAACGCCTCTCATTAAACTATTAAGGTCCGAGACTTGCTGCTGGAGATTTTCGTCTTCTGGTGTAGATGAAGATAATCGACGTGAGACACCATCCAACTTGTTCTTTAATCTCGTAAGGTTCTGTATGAGTTCCTTTATGATGAACAAGAAAAATACATACACATCAGTATTCGCAAAACTGTTTGAGGAAACAGGAGGTAAGGAATGAACACACGTGGATTTCTCCATTAATAACCACTCATTTCT